TTAAAGACATGGGATTTGTATGGAGGTAGGAAAACATTTTAGGGAAGAATAGCATGCAGAACAGTACAGAAACAGGAATGAGCCCAATTACGCAAGAAATAGTGAGGTTAGTCTGCATGATACAGAGTGAGTTACTGGCCTAGAAGTGCCAGTTTCCTTATGCTTAAAAGTAAGGCAATGACCTAGATACCTGAGGCCCCTTTCACCATTAAGATTCTATGATTCCATGATTCTAGAATGGTAAGTCTCAGCTCTTTTGTGCATCTAAGTGGCCTGAAGATACTTTAAAAATTACAGATACCTGAAGCCCACTTTCCAAGATTCTGATTCAGTAGGTCTGAGGAAGGACTAGAACATCTGCACTTTTAAAAGCTCCAAAGAAAGTCTGACACAAGGCCGGAAAACCTTTATTCACAGTGAACAACTAAATTATAGCAAATTTATGATCAAATACTAATTAACCACTAAACATGAAATTTTCTAACAAAATGGAAAAACACTGTATGAAAACAGCAGAACAGAAAACTTAAATGTATGTATATATGTGTAGGACCTCATTTCTTTAAATGAAGACTTGAAACAAAACTGGGAGATTTGATCTACACTGTTGAAATTAGTTCTCTAGGTTCTGGGGTTATGGGTAACTTTTATTTTCTTGTTTACTATTTTCTGTATTTTCTAAAAAACATGTATTATTTTTATAATTGGGGAGAAAAGTGGCTTATTCTGCTGATATTGGCTGGATGGAAATAGCAATTTGTTTCAAAGCTTAATTTTAATTTCAGCAAGATAACCCATGAAGTAATTTTTATGAATACTTACTGACATCATTCCAAAGGCTCCAAATTTAAAACAAAGGTCAAGGCTGCTAAACTCTTAAATACTGATGAATGTAACATAACATCCACATTTAGGATCAAATTATTAAAATTACTGTAAGGAAGCACTCCTATAAACTCATTAGGTGTGGATTTGAAAGAATGTTGAAAATCTCCAAAAAAAGCTGACTTCTGAGAGCACTGGACAGAATCTAGCTGGGACCTCTAATAACCGTGAAAGAAGTTTGTCAGGACCAAAAGATTGTCTACTTTAAGGTTAAATAAATAAATAATGGATACTTCAGTCTTTCTTTCACTTAATCTTCACAACCACCAGAGGAAGCAAGTATCTTTCATACTTTTATAACCAAAAAAACTGAGGCTAAGTTACTCATACTGCTCAAGGACTCACAACGGCTGTCAAAACAAGATCCAATTCCAAAGCCCAACTTTCTTTTCAGCAAGCACATGACCCTTTTCCCCATGTAAACCAGGCTAAGCTTTCCAGTTACTAAGTCTAGCATGCTTCACTCACTCAACCCATCATTTCATCTGACATTTTAGCCAGAATCACTTCTAACCTCACAGGTTGAACGTGAAGTCTAGTAGGAGCCAAGAATTCATTTGCAAAGTCCTTTAAACTGCTATACCAAATTATGTCATTCCCTCTCATGGACTCCAGACTTCCTGGAGCCATGAAGGTTGGATGAACCCCTGAAACTACTGCCCTGAGATAATCGTTAAACCTTAATCCAAAAATATCCCCTGAAGTCTTCTTAAAACCAAACCACAGTTTAGCTTGACTAGTAAAAAATGTCTGTCTTGAGCATTATGCTATTTTAAGAACTATCTATATGGGATCAAATTGACAACAGCAACTGGAAAGATGAGATAGGAACCTTAGGGGCAGTGAGTTTACGTTAATGGGGTAGGAACAACTCAGAAAAGGAGTGTGAGAATGGTTGCACAACTCAAAGAATGTAATCAAAGTCACTGAATTGTACATGGAGAAACTGTTGAATTGGTGTATGCTTTGCTGT